CGCGCCGGCTTCGCGGGCTCCTACTCCAGCCCCTACCCTGCCTACATGGCCGACGTGGGCGCGTCCTGGGCCGCGGCCGCAGCTGCCTCCGCCGGCCCCTTCGACGGCCCAGTGCTGCACAGCCTGCCGGGCCGGGCCAACCCCGCTGCGCGACACCCCAACCTCGGTGAGTAGGGGAGTGCGGGCGCGCGAGCTGCCGGGCGCGCTTGGCCACCGGTGGGCGTGGGACGGTGTGGCGGGGGCGACGCCTGCGAGTGTCCAATCGGGACCTGGAAGGTAGGCGCTGGAGCCGGGGAAGAGGAGGTGGCCTCCGCAGAGACCGCGGGACACGGGCTGGGGGCTGAGTCTGGGCCATTTGGCGGCCCTGTGGGAGGACCCTTCGGAGACAGATGATTTTCCTGTGGGGGATTTCACACCGGACACACAGGGATGAGTAAAGGGGGCCCAGGGAGATGGGTCCAGCTGGGGCCGCGGCTGGCCTGGCCTAGAACCTCGCTGTGGTCTTGCGGGGCCGCGGGCGAGGCGGACACCCGTGGTGTAGGCTGCGAGCGCAGAAACCCGAGGGGCTTCTTTCTGTACAGTGCCCCAGTGGGGCTTCGCGGCCGTCGATCGCCTTGGGCCTGTTCTTCTCCCGGGTTGGAGCAGTCACTTCAGTGGCTGCTCCCATCGAGAGTCCAGGGGAGAATGCCACACGCGTCCCACATCCCCAGAGACAGGTGGCCGCGCAGGGCTGGGCGCTGAAAGAACGGGGCCAGCAGAGGTAACACTTTCAGAGAACACCGGGCCTTGGGGGTTTTCAGGCCAGAGCACCCTGAATTTAGCTCTCCCGGGGGAGGGGAAGCCCAGACTTGAGAAACAAAATTAACATTTATCGACTACCTACTAAGTGCTGAATCCTTTTGCTTTTGTTCTCACTTTGAAGAGTAAAGTCTGTCCCTCCCGGATTCTAGCTTTGGGCTGGCTCAGATGGAAGTCTCAGCTTTGAAGAGCTTTTAAACGATTCTCTGACCCTGGGTGGGCCAAGGGAGGCCTCTGGGGGAGCTTCAGCCAAATACACATCCCAGGTAAACTGATTAACTATGGAAGTGGCGCCGGCCAGGTCTGTGGCTCCCAGTGGCCCTCGACCCCCTCCCTGGCAAGGGCACCCTGAGGAGGATGAGGAGCGGCAGCCCTGGGCAGGCGGAGGGCACCCAGACAAGGCTCCGCAAGGGCACTGGCCTTTGCCTGCTTCCTCACCAGGATTTTCTCCATGTTGAGCTCTCTGGGTTTGGGATTGAAAACCAAGAAAAATGGCCCAGACCCATAGTTCCATTTATTTTCTTTTAACTTGAGGGCAGGAGGGAGGAGGTGTTTCCTTGGTAGCCTCCACCACCCAGAAATGAGAATTATTTATTTATTTATTTATTTTTCAGAACCGGGGATTGAACTCAGGCCCTTGCGCTTGCCAGGGAAGCGCTTATTCCACTGAGCCATCTCCCTGGCCCACAGAAATGAGAATTTGACCTTTGATTAAGGAAAAGGGACAAGACCCAAACCCAAAAGCAGGAAGAGAGCTGTGCCCCTGGGTAGGACAGCACCAGCCACAGAATGCAGTGTGTGTGGGCCTAGTGGGTATTTAGATTTTGCAGTGTGGCCCTCTGTGCTGGTGGGTGGGGAAGGAAGTGATTTCCAAATTCCAGGGTCAGTGTGGAAGCTGAGGACCATCTCCTCCCAGAACTGTTCCCCGCCCATGCTCTTATTCTTTTGCTCTGCCCTCCAGGTGCTCCTTGAAGCTCCTAGATTTGCTCTTCTTCGAGGTGCTTGAAATGGGCAGGCCAGAGAGGAGCCCCACTATCTGTTCGAGGGGACAGTATGTGTTGGCCTTCAGATCCTCTACTCTGCCCAGGCTTAGATAAACGCAACTTCGCTTACAGACACGCCTATGAAGTTACCCCCACCCCATGATACTAGGGATGGAACCCAGCTCCCCATGCCCGCACCCCAGTGCTTATACGTGGTCTTCCGGTCATGTGGGTCCCTGGCAAATGCCTAGAGGCTTTATTGAGAACCAGCCCAGCACACTAGCTAGTAGGTCAGTTGGTGGAAGGATGACAGTGATGCTGGGCTATTTCTGGGGAACTCTGGGGGCTTAGCTCTCAGCTGGCGCGAGAGGCCTGGTGGGTACACAGGTGCCTGAGTGCCCTGGGACCTGGGGGCAAGTTGCTTGCCTCTCTTAAGCTCACTTTCTATACAGGGGTCATCACGGCTCCTTAGATAAGGTAATACCTGTGGCGTTTTGACTTCAGCCCTTTGTAAATGATGATTGTTGTATTTAACATTAACACAGTCATGTTAACCAATTTTTTTGGTTTGCATGAGGGGTCCCCAGAACTGAGGGCTCCCCAGGACTTGAGATTTTTAGTACTAAACCTGGGTCAGTCCCTAATATGCAGAGGTCACCCCAAATAAATACAAAAAACGGGCAGAAAGCCATCACTGTAGTTCAGGTTAGGGTGCAGAGCACTCCGTGAGGAGTGCAGCAGGTTCTCCTCATCTGAGACTCTGGGTTTTCACCTAGTGATGCCATCCACACTGGTCTTGGAAAATGAGTAGTTTTCAGGGAAAAAAAGTACAGTTGAAAGAAAAAGACAGTCCCCCTTTCCCACCATGTGTGCAGTACCATAGACATAGCCTTTCTGTTACTTAATGTATTTATCATCATAGCTAAAACACCAATTAATTGAAAATTAACACACCCTTAATTCAAAATGTTCCTAATTTCAATGATAAAACAAAAGAATATCTTTATTTTTCTATGAAGCATTAATTGCTTAATAACCTGCCAGAGTTCTGCTACTTATTAGAATAAGACAAAAATCAAAGTGGCACCTGCACTTAGGTTGGAAGGAATATTCTTCCCTGACTATAACGTATGTGAACTTTGATTTATTCCAAGTTCAATATGAGCCATGACCCTGAAGCAGTTGTTGAAATCATTAATTACAACATTAATGGAATTCTGTGACCTTACTGAAGTCAGGTGCACCGTCTTATTCATATTTAAGTGCCTGGCACATGCTGGGTACTTAGCAAATATTTGAGTAGAGATCTAGGAGGTTATTGCCCCAGGATTTTGCCATGGTCAATCCACACAGAATGGGGCTTGAGTCCTTTAAGAGGCAAACTGGGGCCTGAGGCAAGAGTGCAGGTGGAAACCTTAAGGACCATGGGAAGAAGGAAGAAGCAGGGCTGTGACAGTCTTGTGTTTCACTGGGTGAGCAGGTTCAAAGCTGGGAACCATCTCACAGGACTGCAGTGGTTTGGAGATGCAGCATGCACCGTGGTGGTCCTCAGGATAAACTGGACGCTGGATGTGTTGATGTGAAGGCTGCCCAGCCCGGCCGGCCCGGCCAGCGGTGCTGTGAGCTCGGTGCTGTGCACTTCCGCTCCAGAACCTACGCTGTGTCAGCATCATCAGAATACAGTGGCTTAGCTGAGCGGCTGCTCTGCTCATGCGCTGGCAAGACCCGTGCAAACTCACTTTGAATGGGGGAGTCTTTCACTGCGTGTGCATTAACCACAATCCAGTTGTTTATTGTATCAATTATTGCTGAAATAGAAATACATGTAAATGTTCCCGGAGGGCTGAAGCATCGAGGTAGATATTGTTGAGAGTCTTAAAAACCCATTTACTAAGGAATAACCACTTCTTTGTGTCATGGAAAACAAGCAATTATTCTAAGGACCTGGCGCTTTCAAATTATTGGAAAGCTTGGTGAAAACAACACAACTAGATGTGTGTGTATTCAGCCCTATTGAAACAATGTCTTTAAAGTCCTTCCACATTAGGTGTGGTATTGTGTGATGTCGTGTGGTGTTGTGTGGTGTGGTGTGGTGTGGTGCACTCAAGGTGTTCTAAGGCGTCGGTGGAAAGTGCTGCAGTGTTTGGGGTCTTTGGGGCACTGCTTATCGAATCCACCACTTGCTTTGTGCACTTTTATAAGGAGACGCTGTGAGACCAACTCTGAATTAGCTTGTTTGGCTAAAGAACAATTTGTCAGTCTTCAGGAAAATCAGCTTTGTTTAACTTTCCGGTTGCCACCCTAAGCAGGTCAACCAGAGTTGGGGCTGCTCTTTGGAACCAAGGGGAGAACCAATTAAATGGGGACAGTGTGCCTTGGGGTGGCCTGGGGTGTGTTACCACCTGGAGCAACCTGTTGTGGCCCGATTGTGTTCTATCAAAAGGTCAGGCCATATTGGCTAGGCACTTCTAAGCCCTCAGGTAGAGTGATGCGCAGGAGACCATTTTAGACAACTAAGGCTTTCTTCTCTATGTGGCCCCATTTTTTCTTTCCTTAAGCACCAAGAAACAAAACATACCCTGAGGTATAGGAAGCAGGAGCTCTGAAACCTGTGGGAGTGTAAATGGGTGCAACTTCTGTGGACAATCTCCATAAATTAGGCAACTTGCGAAGTAGGCAGCCTAGGTAGACAGCGGTTCGCTTTAGGAATTCATTCTGCAACCACATGGCCCACATTGCTCGCATCACTGCTGTGTCTGAAACTGGAAATAACCTGAACACTCACGGTTAGGCATCTGCTTGCGCACCTGTGGGCAGCGCAAACCCCAAGAGCTGGGCGTGGTGGCGCACACCTGTAATCCCAGCACTTGGGGGGCTGGGGCAGGAGGATTGTTGTGAGTTTGAGATCAGCCTGGGCTGCACAGTGAGCTCAAGGCCAGCCTGAACTGCACAGGGGGACCCAGTGTCAAAAAGACAAAAGAAAGGGAGAACGCATGCAAGCAAGCAGAAGCATCACATAGGCATAAAAATGGTGGAATCCTGTATGCTGCTGTAGGACTCTTTCAATACATTTGAAGGGGAAGGCAGTGTTTTTTATATATATATATATTTGGTACAGGGTCTCACTATGCAGCTTGGACTCGTAGTGATCCTCCCGTTTTCTGCCATCATGCCCAGACTTGGTCACCCCCTCAGCATGCCCGGGGGCAGGGCCAGGAACAGGGCCTGCGTGGCATGTGGTACTAGGGATTCAAACCCTGCTTAGTCCGCTGAGCTATCTCACCGGCCCTTCAGTATGTGCTCTTTGTGTGGGGGAAGTAGATCCTATTCACTTGAAAATACACAAATTATCTCTGGAAATCTGGAAATGCTATTATCCCACAGA